TTGTCTCACAAAATACTAAAACTTTGTGAAGAAGTAAAATACCTAACAGTAAATTAATTTCAGAAGCAAGGAAACTACAGGACATAGAGGGGAGTTTCCATATTCTTTCACAGAAACCATTTGGAAATAGGAAAAACAAGACACTTGGAAAGCCCCTGCTGAACCAGGTACAGTTTGGGGGGCTTTGGAAAATTTCCATGACCCAACACTATAATATCTGGGCAAGGAGAGAGGAATACAAATAACAAGTTCTCTCAGCCCAGAAAGATCTTGTCTGCAATCCCACCCCTGTAGCTCTGGAGATTACTCAGTGAAATTGTGTCCACAATCTACAATCGCACACACGATTGTGTTACACAGGCATGCAAAGCCGGACAGGTGTGCTGAGCTCCCGGTGAGGCTCAATAAGCCTAGACACACATCAGGTTGGACACTGCAACCTCACACAAGAGAAACAAGTTCATATTCTCCTGCACGTCTGTCTCTACCAATATACTACGAAGTTAAGAAGACACAGGCCACGTCTAACTTATATTCCCATGTTCCAAAATGCCACGAAGGCTCTAGAAATAGCTCATAGTAGGTTTCCAAAATGATTTCTGTATTGTGTTTCTGTGTTTCTGTGTGTTTCTCCTCCTCCTTTTTCCCTCCTCCACTTTCCCCTCCTCCCTCTTCTTCCTCTTCTTCTGTGTTTAAAGGCTGTATACTTCCTGAATCTAAGTGAGAAAATTGATCCTTCATTCTCTGAACATCTGCTTCAGGAACTGTCGTGCCACATGGTTCCATGGCTTTTGTTGTGTGGCAGGAGCCATTCCGGAGCCAAAGGAGACAGCCTATTCACAGCAGAGCTATTCACAGGCAAATGGGAGCCACGGTGCATCCTAGGGAGGTTCCCAGCACACCTGCAGAGCCCTGGTCTGCACCTAGCGAGCAGAGGTAATTGGAAAGGACTGGGGGAATTTATAGTTCATCCTTTTGAGAAAATGTGACTTCCTAGAAAAGACAGAGGGAAGAAGAGACGCAGGCAATTAAAGATGCTCCTTTTCCTGCACATGTGAGTGCAATTTCTAACCTAGAAAAGAAGGTTAGAAACATCTCCAAGGACTGCTCATCCTAAACAGAGGGAGACCTTATTCTCAAACAAAAGCAGACAAGAAGGCTTCCTGTTCTACTGTTTTCTGAAGAAGAGGCAGGACTCTCTGTCACCATGAAATTAGCAGTGAGTGACATTTTCCATAATCAAAACCTATTCACAAACTCCCAGGGAGGAGGAAAGCATCATGAAAGAAAGAGATAATAAAATTATCAGACCTACCATCAGCACTTCCTTCCATATGGAAGATAGCAATGTCTTTTTTCTGAATTAACAAAACATGAGTCAATGCAGTTTTGAAATCTGGTTTCTAAATGTATCAATGTCAAGAGTCCAAGCCAGGGTTGGTGTCAGATATTTTTCAGAAAATACTTCATTTGTCAATTTGGATAAGGTTTGATGAGAGATACATGCAATTCTCTAAACCAGTCCAACTCAAGAACACCATGGAAACTATTCTTAGACCTACCAAGGAGGAATTTGTGATTTGTCTAATTAGATTTTTATCTAGACACAGAGTACATAGTGGATAGTTCTATCATCCTGCATGTGTAAGAGAGAATGGATGAGTATCATGAAATTCTAGCTAAGTTCCAACCTCCCAGATCCATCCCAGCATGTTATTATTTCTCCATCTAGTAACCCATGCACTGATGATTTATTTCTATCAGGAAGTGTGAGTTGTGTTTCTAGAGATAATCAATAAGTTTTTAGCCATTGTGAGAGAAAAGAGAATTAATATAGTATCAAGGATATCCAAACACCTCAGGTGACAATCAACAGATGCATGGATAAAGAAAATGATGAATGGATCATATATATATATATATAGAGAGAGAGAGAGAGAGAGAGAGAGGGAGATCATAGAGAAGGATAAGTCTATATCATTTGTAGGAAAATGGATGAATTATAAGACCATAATATTAAGTGAAATTAATAGACACAGAATGCTAAGCATTTTATGGTTTCCTCTTATATGGGAATCCCAAAATATAAACAATAAATTTAAGATCAAATAAAGAAAAATTGGTAGGAAACACAGATGTAGAAATATTATTTTGGAACTAGAGGAAGGGATCTGGGAAAAAAAGGACAGTATCAAAACTGATGAAGGTACAATATATGAGTACAAATTCCCCAAAACAGATGTAATTATTATGTATCACAAACATATGCTAATAAAAATTTAAAAAAGAAATATCACTGTAAATAGTATAAAAGTTTTCTAAAAGAGTAATTACACATAAAAATATAATTGGCTTAAAAGCAGCACCAATTAAACATTGTTAATTTTTCCCCGTGAGCCTCGTGCACACATTGTCAGAGCTTTTAGAAGGTCATTGAATTTTGGAGGCAGTATAACACTTTTCTCATGTTTTGAATCTCTTTAAAAGAAAATATACTGATGGAAGCAAAAATAATAATGTACTGTAATATATATTAAAGTAAATGATGGCACTAGTAACACAAAAGTTCAAAAGGGTAAAAGGAAAATACAGTCATGAGATCCTAACACTGTATGTATGTGAAATAAGAAATGTGATCAGAAAAAAATGTGGCATAATTTAGGCATGTGTATTTTAAATAATAGCAGAACAACTAAATGTACCAAAAGAGTTAACCCTAAGAACCCAATAGGGGAGGTTAAATGGAATGACATAATTTTCTTTGATCCAAAAGAAGACAAGAAAAAAAAAAACTAATAATATAGGATATACTATAAACAAATCAGAATCATAGATGTAATTATAGCCATACCAGTAATTGAATTAAAAGTGGGTAATATAAATAGTCTGATTTAAAATTAGTGATTGTTGGGCTGATTTTTTTAAGAGAAGCCAAATTAAGGACTCACTCTGTGGAAAAGACCCACTTTATACAAACACAAGCATTTAAGTCAAAAGGATGGAAGAAGGCACAACACAAGCAGGCTAATGAAAAGAAACTTGATCTGATTGCATTCACATTAGAAAGGGTAAGTTTAGGGGCAATAAATAGTGTCAGCAATTTTTAAAAGACTTAATAGTCTTAATAGTCTTTCATAATAATGAAAATTCCTTAATACACTGTATCGATCCCACATAAAGAGAGTAAAATCATACAAAACATGTTTTTTAACTTCAGGAATCAGAACTCAAACATTGGAAATAATAGGAAAATTCTCAAAAATTTCAAAACTAAGCAAAACCAAAAGTCAATGGTGGGTTCAAAGAAATCAGTGGAAGTACTAAAAAGCTTTGAATAGATTGAAAGTTAGAACACATCAAAATTCTGACACAAAACTAAAACAGTGTGTAGAGGAAAAATTTTAACATCAGTGCTTATATTAGAAAAGAATAAAGGTGTGAAATAAATGGTCTAAATTCCTACCCAAAGAAATTCGAGAAAAAAACTTCTAGCCTTTATGCCACGGGTGCCGTAATTTAACTTAACATTTGTTACAGTATATTATTATTGTGTTTGCATCTGTTAATGTTTTCTTTTAAAGAGATTCAAAAGTGAGAAAAATGTTTTGTATGTAATCCAAAATAATTAGAAGTGAGAAATAATAAACATAAAAATAGAAATCAATAAGCTAAAAAATTAAAGTAGAAAATACCAACCATACAAAAATCTGGTTTTCTGAGTACTGGTTAATGACTACCAGTAAACATAAAAAGGGAAGATATAAATTATCAATATCAAAATTGAGAAGAGACATTGATACAGAGGTACAGATATTAAAATAAGGGAATATTATGAATAGCTTTATGCTAATTAAGCATAAGCTCACTTAAGACAAAAAATAGGTAATTTAGAAAATTCAAAAAGAAAAATTGAAATTTCATTTATTTTACCCAGGTATAATGGCACATGCCTAAAATCCCAGCAGTGGAGAGCCAGAGATAGGAGGACCATCACAAGTTTGAGGCCAGCTTGGGCTCATAGTGAGTTCAAGATCAACTTGAACTACATAGTAAGATCCTATCTCAAAAACACACAAAAAAAAATTTAGCTTATTTTATTGTTAAATTTTCCAAAGAAGTTTCTAGGACCAGAAGACTTTACTGATGAATTCAACAACACTTTAATAAAGAAATCATACTACTTCTAAAAGCTATTCTAGAGAAGAAAATAGAAGACACTATTTCCTAATTCATATAAGGTCAGCATTATTCTGATACCAAAATCAAAGTCATTGCATGGCAGAATCCACAGACCTATTTCTGTTGTTAATAAGCACAAAACCTTTAACAAATTATTAGCAAATCAAGTCAGCAACGTATAGAAAGGGTAGTGCATCATGACCAGGCATTTAAGGTTGGTTTGACTTTCAGTAAACAATCTGATTCACCATTTCAACAAACAAAAACCTACAGGTTTGTCTCAGTGACAAAATTCAGCAGCTGTGTAACTTGTAAGAAGAGGAACATAAGCCCACCTAGTGCCCTTGCTCTGTCTTACATGTGATGCCCTCCACTTTACCACACACAAGTACCAAGCTCTTGGACTTCACAGCCTCTAGAACTATGAGCTAATAAACTTCTATGTTTTATAAGTTACCCAGTCTATGACACTGAGTTATAGCAATAGAGAACAGGCAAAGGCAGGCCCCCATCCAAATTTATGGTGGCTGGAGTCAGGAAAACCTTGACAAACAAGATTGTTTTCTACATCATGAAGGATACAAAGGAGGCAAAAGGGAGCATGAGGTGCTCAGGAAATGACAAGCTGCTCAGTATGACTGAACTGCACAGCTTGGGAAGAAAGCAACAAGGCTGAGAAAGGGATCTAAAAGTGCCAAATCACGAAGGTCCCCAAAGTTGTCCTCAGATATCCAGCTATGCAGAAGCTTCCACAAAGACATCCCTTGCATTGCAGAAATCTCACAGAAGGCAATAGGAGAGTAAGTCAGCTTAGACCTCACCTTTTCCAGAAAGCCCAGCACTCTCAGAGCTCCCTCTGATACCTCTGTTCCACCAAGAAGGTGAATGATGTAAACAAAAATATGGGCCAAGTCCAGCAGCACAGGCACCCTGTGGATTTGTTAGGCCGGAAGTCAGCCCGGGGCGGAGAGGGCTGGGGTCACAGAAACTGCTTACACTGGAAAGACGGGCAGACCAATCCCTGAGGAGGTGGAGGTATTGCGAAAACAAGAGAATGAAGTACAGTCATAGTTTCTGCACTAGGGAGCGCAATGCTGGAGCCAGAGCTGGCACAAAAGCCTGGGGGAGTTCTGTTAGTTAAAGGGTTAAAATGCATTACCAAGAGATGGTCCCAGAGTGTGTGAGGCTGACTTCCCAGCTCCTCCTGAGCCGCAGTGACCCTGCACCACCTCAGTATATAGGGCGCTGCTTGGGCACTAATGGAAAACAGGCTGCAGGCCCGGGTGAGGGGGTGAAAATGGAGCACGCTGCAGGGAGAATGGGAGGTGAAAAGAGAGACTCACTTTTGCAAAATCGATCACATGACCTTATGGGGACTTTTCCTTTTTTCCTTTTTGGAGCCTGAGACCTGCTGTGGAATGTACATGTTGTAAAATTCCAGCACATTATGAGAACATAAACTTTTTCTCTTACCAGTGGGATTTATCAGGACAGAATCTTTTACTTGAAGCCAACAAAATTTTCAGTGCAGGCAGGAGCAGTGTAATGAATCTCTGTTCATGAATAAAGGCATTTTTCACCTGCTGAGGCCATTAGTCATTATCCAGGGTCTCACTGTGACATGCATGGTGGAGAAGCCAGTCCAGTAAAAATAAGATAAATTGGTAATTCCAAGTTTGCAGCATGAGTGAGTCTCCCATCAAGTCTCTTTCTCTTTTTACATTTTTTGGGCTAAATGAACAGGTGTTATCACAGCCATTTATATTCCTATATGTGCACTTTAAAATTTCAATTCACCCTTCCAAGTCCGAGCCGGTGAGGGGTAAGAGAGAACATGGAGATCTCAGCACTTGGTTGGTTGTTTGGGGTTTGCAGTGCTACTGTGGCCCCTTCCTGGTAGAAGTCTATTTGTCAAGCACAGACACAAACCAACCAGAAAGGACCTATAATCCCTTCCTCAGGAATCACTGGTAAAGCTGGAGGGCAGAGGCTGGAGACTCCTTGAATTTCTATCTCAGAATTGGCCTACTTGCTCCTAGTTGCAGACAGAGGACAAAGACTTCTCAGACTCGGAGCAATCTGTTCCACTCCACTGAAGGGCACAGGATCTAGGACTACTGTACACACCCAGGTGTTGAGCAGTAAAAACAAAGGCAGAACACCAATCTGTGACTGGAATGTGAAAAGGAAAAGAGGGAAATCTATTCCCTCACACTGGCTGTCTCACTTTCCCATTGTTGGAACAAAAAACCCAACACCCACAACTTATTTTGACTAATGTTTTCAGTCCGGGAACTGCTGGCTCCAAGGTGAAATAGCATAGTAGAAGGTGGATGGAGAAAAGCTACTCATGTCATGGAGGCCAGGAAGCCAAGAGAGAAGGGAAGAACCAAGGCAGGAGATACAGACTTCCCGGCTACGCCCGCAGTGACCTGCCTCTAGCCAGGCCCCACCCCTCACGGCACACTCAGTTGCTGAGCTCATCAGTGGATGGATCCCTGGCAAGCAGAGCACCCACATGATGGAGTCACCTTCCAGAAATCCTACCTCCAAGCATATGAGAAATTGGGGGACACTCTAGATTTAAACCATAACATGGGCATTTTACATGTGTTACCTAATGTGATCTCCACACCCACCATGCAGTTGTATGATTAATCCTATTTAAGTGGAAAAGGAAATTGACATTGAGAGGTCATGTTACTGGGACCAGGTTAGGAGATAATAGTATTGCCCAGATCTGAACCCAGAGCTAATTCAGGATCCTCGTTTCTTGTTTGGGTTCATTTCTTCATGACTGGAGCTACCAGAAAAAAATTAACAGAAGTTCAGTGGTTCAAAACAAGAACTTATTATCCCATAGTTCTGGAGGCCAAAAGTCCCAAATTAAGGTGTTGAAAGGGTACTAACAGGTTAGTAAAGGCTTGCATAGAGTCTCCTTGCTTGTGCTGGCCTTGTGATCACATCATCACATTGCTCCAGTCTCTGTCCTCACCTACGTATGGCCACTTCTCTGTGCCTCTGTGTCCTATTCTCTTCCTAAGAGGACATCAAGGCACTGGATATAGGGCCATTTCTAGATTAGTATGCTCTCATCTAGTTACATCTCCAAAGAGTCTTTTTCAAAGGTCATATTTTGTGGTTCTGGGGACAACTCACCACAATGACATTCACAGTGTGATCTCCCCAGGGAACCTACTAAGTGTGTGTAGAGGATATGACATGGCATGCAGAACAGTATTTGCTCTGTCTGGACTTGAAAGACAGTAAGTTTAAGGCATAGTAAATATTGACTATATCTGACCATAGAACATTAGCAGTGACACAGGCAGTTGGATCAAGTATGTGGAGATGGTGAGAGGGGTGAAGAAGAGGAGGGAGAGCTGGCAGAGGCCATGCACTCATAGGTTGATCCTAGCAGCAACTGAGATGCAGTCCAGGATGGTTGGATCACAGGGTCATAAGCAACACCAGCTCGATTCTTGATTCTGTTCACAGAATAAGTTGCAGGCAGAGCAACTCAACATAAGAACAGAATGTTCAGCTCAGCCTAAGGCAGTCATGGCTGAGGAAAAAGAATGAGTAGAGAAATGTAAGGAAGTAATGTAAAAGAAAGAACAGTATTTGACAAGGGATGAACTGTGAGGGAATAACATGAAGAAGAGATAAATACAAATTTGAAGAAAGTTTTTGCTGCTCTCAGTGAAAAACAAAGTAAGATTTCCAACAGCAAGGCACTAGTCCAGCAAGAATTACAGTATAATACAAATCACATGAATGAGAGAGAACAAAATACAACCCTCACACAAGGTGGGATTTCTCACAGTCAGAAAACCACTCTGCCTACCACAGGGCAGAAGCCTACTGTGAAGGGGTTCGTCTCAGCAGCCAGAAGGTCACACTAACTGCACCTGCATATGCTGTACCTCCGTGAGCCCATGAGCAGCCTGAGCAATGATCCTGGGTCAGGTTGGGTGTCTATGCAAAGCTTTGTCTGCCCATTGTGATGAACCTAATATTCATCATACTTTCACCTTTTTTCAATTCTTTGTGCTCTTTGACCCAAAAGATCCACCCTTCCTCCGAATTTGGGCTATGGTGGGTAAAATGCCTATGATCATATGCAAGTCTGCACATTCTGTTAGAATGTTTCCAGCAGAGATGTATCATCTGATTTACTTTTTATATAGAGAGACTTTATTTTTAGGGCAGTTTTAGATTCATTGAAAAACTGAAAAGAAAGAACAGATAGTTTCCAGGTACCCTCTGTTCCCACACACATACAGCCATCTCCATTAACATACCTTACTGGACTGGTCCATTTGTTAAGACTACCTTGACACATCATTATTGCTCAAAGTCTATATGGAGCATTAGGGTTCACTTTTGGTGTTAAATATTTTGGGGATTTTTACAAACATATGATTGGTATGCAGCATTATAGTATCACACAATATAGTTTTGCCTTTTATAGAGTGACTTCTATTGGAAATCATACACTATGGAGCCTTCTGAGATTGGCTTCTTTCACTTAGTACAGTAATATGCATTTAAGTTTTCTCTACGGCTTTTCATGGCTAATTTTCTTGTAGTGTTGAATAATATTCTTTTGTCTGGATATGCACAGTATATTTACCCATTTATCTACTGAAGAACATTTTAGTTGCTTCCAAGTTTGGGCCATTATGGGAAAAGGCTGCTATAAATAACTATGTGCAAGGTATTATATGAAGATAATCTTCAATTCATTTGAATAACACCAAAAATACTACCTTACCATAGTGTTATAGTTTAGATATAAAACATCCCCCAAAAGTCTCATGTAGGGCATTCAGAAAGTGATTGGAGGGTATCCACTATCACCACCCCCGTTCAGTATAGTTCTTGAAACATTAGCCAGAGCAATTAGACAACAGAAAGAAATAAAAGGAATATGGATAGGAAATGATGAAGTTAAATTATCATTACTTGCAGATGACATGATACTCTACATAGAAGGCCCCAAAAACTCCACCAAAAGACTCCTAGGACTAATAACCAAACTTAGTAGCATAGAAGGGTACAAAGTCATATATATGATAATGAACTTTATGAGGACTTCTAAGATAAATAAATGCATTCGATGAAGGCAAAGTAAAAGGGGGATGGAAGAAATGAGGAAAATGAAGTGAGATGTGTTATGTACAGCACCAATTTCCTACAATGAGTGTAATCATTATGTACTGAAAACATGTACTGATAAAAAATTAAAAACTGAATAAAGATGATTGGATCATGGAGGTACTATATTCATCAGTGGATAAATCCATTGATGAGTTCCTAACTGAATTTGTTGTTAGGAGGTAGGGCCCAGTTGGAAGAAGAGGGTCAATGAGATTGTAACTGTCTTTCTCTGTTTCTGTCTCTGTCTCTGTCTCTGTCTCTGTCTCTGTCTCTGTCTCTCTCTCTCTCTCTCTCTTTCCTCTCTCTCTCTTTGGATCTCCAGTTCTTTTTGCCTCCAGCTATCATGAGACAAGCAGCTTTCCTCTACCAGCCACTTCTACCATGATGTTTCTGCCTTGGAGCCAGCTGACAATGGACTGAATCCTCTGAAACCATGAACTAAATATTCCTCTCCTCCTTTAAATTATAGGTGTCAGATACTTTGTCTCAGAAAGAGGAAAGCTGGCTAATACACATATGTTAATATTATGTTTAGCTTTGTAAGTAGTTGCCAAAATGTCTTCAAATTGGCTATGAATTGACCATCCCACTAGCAATGGAAGAAAGATCCAGTTACTCTACAGTCTCCTCATAATTTGGTGTTGTCTGTGTTTTGAATTTTGGCTATTCAAGTAGATGTGTAGTGGCACCTCATTGTTATTTTATTGTTTACTTCCTTCCTGACTCATGATGAGTATCACCTTATATGATCTTTTTCCATCTGTGTATCTTATTTAGTGG